CTTCACTATCTTATTCCAACTATCACTGTCCCTCACCTGGGCTATTGAAATGCCTCCTGACTCGTCCCTCTGCCTCCATTCTCTCCCCCTGCCACTCCCTTCTCCACACAGCAGCCAGAGTGGGGTGTGTGTGTGTGTGTGTGTGTGTGTGTGTGTGATGTAACTGGGTTCTTATCTACCAGAGATTTTATACTGTCTTGTCTTTCCTTCTGGAAAACGCTGTTTCTCTAGTTCCCACCCCCAGCCACCAGCAGTCACAAGGAGGTGGCTCCAGACCAAGGTCTGACAATCAGAGCCTTTTCTCATGTAGTTTTTCCATGAGAACAGAAACAGCAAGTTTCTGTCCCTTTTCCATGGCAAGGGTGGTGGATTTGAATCAAGAAGCCTTCCAATAAATTCCCTTTTTTGGATTAGTTTGGGTTGGGGTTCTAGCACTTGCAAAATAAGAGCCCTCACTCATACTTTTCCAATGGTTTTCTTTTCCTGGAGAATGTAAATTCCATTCCAGCTGGACTATGACCTTCTTGTTCTCTCTGTATTGGACCTGGCCACATAGCAGGCATCCAAAAAAGTAATTGTTGAATAAATGAATGCCTATCTATAAACTCAAACCGGAGTCACCCCCTGGTAGTGTCCCTGGGTCCTCCCGTCACTTCCTGGACCTTCTTCTCTCATACAAATTACCACATCTTATTGTATCTGTCAGCATCCCAAACCAGAGTGTGGGTTCTTTAAGATCAAGTTCAGTTGAAACATCTGCCAAGCTGTTTCAGGAACTGTGCTGAGAGTAAAACTGTGATTCATATCCCAGAATGGAGCAGGGCACTTGGCACACAGTGGGTGCACAGTGTTTGCTTGCTGAGTGAATAAGTGAATTTGCAGTTTATAAAATACTTTCTCACCATCAACTCCATTGTTTCCCGCAGTCGGCAGGGCAGGACTCCTTACTACAGAGGAGTGCCTAATATAACGTGCACACCTAATAATTGTTACCACTTAGAACACTCTTACCGTGAGCCAGGAGCTAGTTGCATTTACGTACTGAACTTCAGCCAGTGCCACCCTTTCCACATAGCAGTCCTTAGCACCAGAAGTTCTATTATTATTCCCTGGCTCATCTGTCTCGCCCGCCAGTGCCTGGCCCAACGCGGCTAACCAAGAGTGGCTGGTGGGAGCACGCGGAGCTGAAGCCTAGAGGCCTGAACCCCAACCCCGCCACCAGCCTACCAGGATTTTTGGGCTCTTCCTCGCACACTGGCGGCAGGGCGGTCGCCGGCTTCTCCTTGGCCCCGCGATCCCCCTTCTTGGTCACTGCACCGGACGACTTCTGGATCCCGGGACGCGGGGTCCTGGGTGAGGCTGAGGTTGGTGCTCTCGTCTCGGCGGACATCCTGGTGGCGTCCGCAGAGACTCTGTGGACTCTCACGCGGGCGAGGAGGCAGGATGGGACTCTGTGGGGCTCGCCCTGGAGGTGGCCGAATCAAGGGTCTCTAGTCCGCGTCCACTGACAGGACCTGGCTGTCGTGGCGTCGCCTCGGCGTCCCTCTCCACGACAACCGCGCGAGGTGGGCGGGCCCGCAGTCAAGAGGCAACCGCAGAGCGCGCGGGAGGCCGACAGGGGGCACCACAGAGTCATCAGGGGGCGGGGATTGGGGCGGTACTCCGGAGGGCGGAGCCGCGGAGCTAGGGCAGGGGAGGCGGGGCTGGGGCGGAGAGGGCAGGATTGGGTGGCCCGGGGTCATAGGAGCAGGGGAGCCCTGGAAGGCGGGACCCTGCGGACCCTTTGCGAAGGGAAAAGCCCTAAGGCGGCCCAGGACCTGGGCGGAGCCGTGGCGGGGGCAGAAGAGCGGATCGCGGCCTGGATCGGAGGGAAGGGAAGGGAAGGGGCTAGGGCAAGACTGGGACGGAGAGGCGGGGCTAGGGGGCGGGCAAGGCGCCATCCAAAGTCACTTGGGAAACAGCCCAGGAAAGTCAGGAGCTGACCCTGCGTATTAGGGATCGCTGCAATCGAAGAATCTAGGAAAGCTGTCCTGGTGGGGACAGATCCACTCTCCGGGGTCCCCCTCCAATCCTGTGAGAAGAGGGCTCCGAGATGGAAAAGACCCAGAGAGACCCACCGAGTAGGCGACTTTACCTGGCTCTGGGTGTATAATCTCGACCCCCTCTATTTAGCCTCCTGGAGTCTGGAGGCTTAGTTGATCCGCTAACGAGTTAAGGAGGCGGATCACGCTTCCCAGGAATCTTGGATTCAAAGTCCTCAGGTGGTCTAGATCCTGCCAGGCCCCATCTGAGTATCCCTGCTCTCCTCTGACTTCCTGGCTCCAGTCTCCCCACTCCACTCAGTTCCGTCCCCCACCGCCACTCCCAGACCTTCCTCCCCGCCTTTGCGTCTTTGTGCTGTTCCCCTGTACAGATGCCACCCTTTGGGGAAGGCTCCAACCTAGGCAGTCTTTTAGCTCAGAGCAGCAGTTTGCCCAATGATCCTAGCACTTGCCAGCACTTACAACTGGTATTTTTAAATCACTCGGCCACTCAGCCTTTGGAGGAACATTTATTGAGTGCCTACTATGTGCCAAGGGACTCCAATGTTGAACATAAACACAAGATTCCTGCTTTCAGGGAACTTACAGTCTGGCGGGGAGACAGAGATTAATCAAATAATCACATTAAAAAGCAACACATTACAGAGGTGCCTGGCACCCTGTAAGCCTTCTGCAGGTATCTGGTGCATGAACACATCTGTGATCAGTGCTATGAAAGAGAGGAGCGGATGTGACCGACAAGCAGAAGTAAACAGGTGAGTGGGAGAGGAAGAGCATTCCAGATGTGCAAAGTCCCTGTGGTAGGAAGAAGTGTGGCTGATAGGAGGACCTAGAGGCCAGTGTGGTTGGAGCAGAGTGACATGGAACACAGTTCAAGGGAGACTTAAGAGACAGACAAGCTGGGCCAGCAAAGCCTTTAAGGCCTTTGACAGTTTTGACTGTGACCCAGGAGCCATGGGGCACCCATGAAGACTTTCAGGCAGGGGTAAGCTAGCCAGCTTGTATTTTGAGCAGTTGGTTGTAAGGAGTACCAGGTGAATGCAGGGAGGCCAGTTAGGCTATTTCTAGAGTTAGTTGGGTTAGCCCCAGGACAGGATCTGTGCCTGGTACCCTTCTGAAACCACACACACACACACACACACACACACACACACACACACACACATACACACACACTCACAGAGCCTAGCCTGGGAGTGCACAGAAAATTTACCCAATATACATTTTTTACATCAATCTGAAATCAGAGTTATCCAGCAACATTCAACCCACCAGTTTATGTACATGGGGCCCTGGGGGCCTTGGGGAGCAGCTGGTTGGGGAAAAGGAACACAGACTTCCAGCTGACCAGTGTTTCCCACGATAGAACCTGGGAGCCAGGCTCCTGTCTCCTCTCCACTCGCATCCTCTATTAAACATGTTCCTGTTCACCACCTGCCAGTCTTCTCCCTGCTCCTGGCAGGGTACAATGGGCTCTGTCCTCAGCCTTGGGCAGCAAAGAACAGGTGTGCTGACCTCTGCACACCATCTTGGCTCCTCAACGGTCCTGGTGCCGAAGCGGGGGAGACGGAGGATGCCGTACTGGAGGCAAGTCATAGTGTCCAGGGATGTGGCTGTTCTTGGGTGAGTCATAGTGGCCGGGAGGCAGGCCCGGAGGCAGGGGGTGCTGGGAGCTCACGGAGTCTCGGTCTGGAGACAGGGAGGGGAGAAGATGAGAGGGAGGTGGATCCTCCCCTTCCCACCACTCTCCTCCCCTCTCCGGCCTCTTCTGCCCAAAGATGGCTGGATGGTGCCTGGCTTTAGGCCAGTTTGTGCAGCTCCTCAGCTGCCAGTGGGGGAGGCCACCTAGACCTGCCCACCTCACATGATATGAGAACACTTTGTCACCTGCCTGGTTTCCAGCTTTTCTGGGTACCAGCTCCACAACTCAGGTGCTGGAAAACCACTGTTTTAAACCCTCAGCCCTGTGAGGTAGGTACCAGCCCTCCTCACAGGCTTGAAGGGGCAGTATGACTTCCCAAACTTCACGCCTGGTGTGAACCCAAGTCTGACCCCAATGCCACCTCCATAGTCCCTCCCTGTGTCCCTTCTCTTTTTTCCATCTCCCTTGTCCCAGGTCTCTCTAGCCCCTATCCCACGGAGAAGGAGGGCTCACCATGGGTCAGAGGGCTGGGCTGCTCGTAGGTGCCACTGTCTCTCTGTGGTTGGGGGTGTCGCCGCCTCTGGCTGTCCGGGAGCTGAGGAGGCTGCCTGGCAGGAGATCCCGAGGCAGGGCCTTTCATCTCCACGTAGCTGCTCTCCCGGGGGCTCCCTAGCAGGCTGGGCAGGTCCCGGATGGTGGCATAGGGGTTCTCGCTGCTCAGGGAAGCCACGCTGGCCCCCAGCCCCTCTTCAGAGATGGGCCCTAAGGATGGGGAATGAAGTCAGGCTTGATGGAGGCTCCTAAATCCCAGCTCAGCCCCGTCCCTTGCCCCCTGTTCCCACACCTTTATTATAGAATGGGCCTGGGCCGTTACTGTTGCTGTAGCTACAGCTGTAGCTTCGGTCCAGGCGGCTGCTACCTGAGAAGGAGGAAGCAATGTGTAATCAGACCCCTGGTCCCCTCCCCAGGGTCCCCCCTCCTCTAGATCTGGCATCCAGAACCCCCTTCTGCAGACATACAGCACTCTGCATGCTGAACTGTACACATCTGCCCTCCCCAGCGGCCTGAGCCTCCAGGCTCCTACCCCTGTCCAGAGGTGCTGGAAGGGGCTCCCGGCGGTGCTTCCAGTCAGCAGGCAGAGTGGCGTGGGTGTCGTGCCCATGGGCACCACCTGGCCGCTCCGGGGCCTGGAGGCTGACAAAGA